ATCCGAATTTTCCAGATGAGAAAACTGAGGCACGTGAAGTGAAGCAACTTGCCAGAGGTCCTGTGACTGGTTAGCATCAGAGCTGGCATTCCTAACAGGTGGATGAGCTCCACCGCCCCTCCTCTGGCCCCCCCCACAGGCCCCCCAGCCCTCAGGGCAGGCCCACAGCTGGGCACTTGGCCTCCTGTCCTCTTCCCGGCAGGGGGCTGGCTCTACTTGGAAGTTGTTTGTGCCCAGCTATTCTGGGAACAGCCTTTTTCTTGATCACTCATCTGAATTAATCATTGTGTTGGTCTGGATCTAGGGGACCAGATCCAGGGGACGTTCACACTTCACAACACCCTCCATTTATAAAAGTTTCTGAGAAGTACAGTTCAGTCCTTATTCTCATTTCCCTCAGTGGGTGTTCCTCTGTACTGGCAGGGTCAGCAAATCCTTTAATAAATGGAAGCCTGAGAGGCAGTTGAGCGCAATGGAGCGAACAGGCCTCGGAAGCTCCACCGGCATCAGCCAGCTGTACGGCCTTTGGGTAAAAATAATTGCAGCGAACCCCTCCTGGCGGCTTACGATTGTGCGTTCTCATGTTACCTGGACAGCAACACTCACAGTGTATACATCTGTCAGAATTTTCTGGGCACAAGCAACAGAAATTGATACTGAGAATTTACACAGAGGGCTAGGAGACCGCTCATGGGTGTGAAAGCTTAAGAGTTAGGTGGAGGAGGTACAAAAACCGGAGTAGCTTCAGGATCCAGGTAGCAGGAAGGAGTCAATAACCTGTTCAGTTTCATCCCGGGGGTGGTAGCCAGCTGTTGGTTGGCTATTCTTTCTTTCTTTTTTTTTTTAATGTTTATTTATTCTTGAGACAGAGACAGAGCATGAACAGGGGAGGGGCAGAGAGAGGGAGACACAGAATCTGAAACAGGCTCCAGGCTCCAAGCTGTCAGCACAGAGCCCGACGTGGGGCTGGAACCCACGAACTGTGAGATCATGACCTGAGCCGAAGCCGGCCGCTCAACCGACTGAGCCACCCAGGCGCCTCATTGGCTGGATATTCTTAATGACTATTCCCTTATCCTTTTACCCTTGCCACCTTCCCCTTACAGAGGTTGGAAAAATTAAATACTAGCTTTTCCAGTCCCCCTTTAAGGTAGGGGTGGCCATGGGACACAGTTGCGGTCAGAAGATATGACCAGAGGATAGCTGGGAATTTCTGGGAAAGATTGTACTTTCCTGATAAGAGTGATGAAAACTGAAGCTTTCCCTTCATCGCTTTCTGCCTTGAAACTTGCAATGCTGGAACTTCTGCAGTCCCTTTGTGATCAGGAGGGAAAGACCAAGACTATCACCAACAGACACACCAGCACAGACATTGTGGAGCAGTTGAACCAATGCCAGCAGCTGCTTACCTGCAGAGTGTTTATGCGAGAGAATCAGACTTTGTCTGATTAAGCTACTCTGAGTTGGGTTGTCTGTTACTTGCAGGCTTCCTGAGAGGCTCACCCCTTCAACCAAAACCGTTTTTTTTTTTTCCCCCCGGTCCTTGCAGAACTCCACCGAAGACTTAAATTCTGGGGAAGAACATGCCCAGCTTTCTCGGCTGGAGGAGGGTAGGCCACCTTTGTTAACAGTTCCACTGATACCGCACTTAAAGGGTGGGGGGAGTTCCTCAAAAGGTGAGTATGCTCTTGTTGCCAGAGGTGGGGGGAACAGAGGCCAAGAGGCTGAAAGTCAAATGTCCGTTAAGATGGGTGTCACGGTTACAGCCGTGAGGCTGACGCAGAGTCTCAGGGTGGTGACATAGTATGCCCAAAGCCTCTGAGGCATGGGCACACCCGGGGCCTGGCACTTTACTTTGCTGCAAGTGTATTGCATTTAAGTAAAGGATTACTGGCATGGGATTTCATTGTAAACCCAAATCTTAAAAAAATATTCTCAAAGCTACATTATTCATATCATATACACGTTATTTCCATCCCAATCTTGAGTGTTCTTTTAACTGCTTCCCATAGCTCGGGAAGGAGGGTGGTTTAGTTAGCAACTGTCAGTTAACCCTTTTCACTAGATGTCTTGGTTAGAGATGTTTGGTTGCAAAGAACACAACCTTTCTCACTCATTCAAGCACCAGGAAAGGGCAGGAGGAGTTACAGTATGATTAGACCTGACTGAATCCAAGGGCAGAAATGGACAGGAAACTGTAATTTGTAAGCACTCTGATGGATTTGGGTATAGATGATAAATACTATTCATGATTACTGAGAAAAATTAAGTGGAGCCCTACATTTATAGTGTTTGGAATAGTGCCTGGCACACGGTAAGCCCCCAAGTTGGGACCAGTATACTCCAGGGTTTAACATTCAGGGTCAGGCCCCATTTTGTCTACATCAGGAGAGTTTATGAACTGAAACACTAAGTTCCAGTTCTGGCCATAACACCATGTCACGAAAACACATGAGAAGGTAAACAACGCTCTTTACATTCCCATAAGGCCTCCATCTTATCAGCATCAACGTTTTGCCTGATTTCTATAAAACTGACAGCCAGACGGGGTGGTGTTAACTGAGCCAGCGTGGGCACGGATTGTATATAGGAGTGACACGGTGTGGTCGGCTGGTTTGCGTGGAGCCAACAATAGTGAGGCTGGAGAGAGAAGCACCCTTCGGGAAGCCCATCACGGAAATGAAGGTCCTCACTCCACAGTGTAGGACTTGTTTCCCAGTTCAGTGCCCTTGCCCCCTGCAGGGTGTGTGGTGTCTCACCACTTTGCCTCCCAGAGGCTGTGGCCCTACATGACTGCTGGGGAAAAGGACAGACAGACATCCTTACTTACGACAGAGCCTTGCAGGCACCCATCTACTCCAAAATAATGTATATATAAACAGGAAGTTTTAGCCCAAGTAAAAATCTTGTGGTGAACAATCCCATAATAGGCAATATGAATAGATCTCTGGTCAATTTCTACAAAGCCAGTGGAGTGAATACAAAGTGTTTCACTGTCGATTCTCCGATCCCTTTAGTTTTAACAACCCTGGACTCCGTGTAACCTGCGTCTTTATTACAGCCCACTTCCTATCTGCCAGACACTTTGCAAATGTGAGACCACAAGCCTCACACAATTTTTTTTTGAGGTAGGTGCAGGAAGCCGGACTTCAGAGGGGGCCAGAAAACTTGTCCAGAGAGCCAATTAGTGGAAGAGACAGGATCTGAACCCAGGCCCCCAACTACCAAATCCATGCACTGAACTGCTGTTATCCTGAAATGAAATAATGATGAGAGGCAGTGGGTCTTGGAAACAGACTGTGGCAAACACAGTGTTTTGAAATTATATCATGTTTCCTAAAAGTCCTAAGTGGGTTCTATAAAGCTCACCCGGTTGGATAACCTAAACTTTCAGTGAAAAAACAACTGTACTAAATGTTTTTATTTCTAAAAAGAGGCAGGAATCAATTTCTTCAAAGCAAAAAAGCACCCAGATCTCCTCCAGGCTTTGTCCCAAAGTCAAATTGGCATGCATTGAAGGCAGGTGCAAAGGACATAAGGCAGCACAGTGGCCGACTGGGCAGCTGAGTGTGAACCCTAGACTTGACGATATATTAACCTTGGTGACAGTCAACAATTCAAATTTCTTCAAACGTAGTCTTCTTCTTAATCAGTGAGATGATGATGGTACAGAAAAAAATACATGTAAAACAGAGCACAGAACCCCGCACCATCAAGTTCCCCTCATTAGAGGGGATAACAGGTAAGTACTGCTTCCAGCCAGTGCTGTGCCTTCTCAGCACAAGAATCTCTTAGAAATGTTAGCATTAGTTCAGACTGTTTGCAAGGAAAACAAACCCAATGTAAACTAGCAGATGTTGAACACTGATGAGGAACTTACAATGTGCAAGATGAATCATCTGGCCCCAGAGGACACAAACATATAAAGCATGGTTCATGCTCAGGGAGTTCCAAGTCCAAAAATGTGGGTGAGGCAGGCTCTTATCTTATCAGGACACACCCTACATGTTAAGTCATGGGGCCCAAGGGGAATATACTCATAGGACCCAAGGGGAATATACTCATATCTTGAGGCTCAGTCCTTTCAGGACGAAGTTGGACAATGGGTTAGTGTCCTTTGGGATATACTAGGAGTTCCACTATCTACGCAATGGGTGTATCTTGCATCCATAGCTCACTCCCCAAGAGAGAGGATCCAATGGGGTTATCACCCCCCAATATTAAACCCAGTATGGAAATTCCTATAAAAACCATGCAAAGGCTATTGACTCTCCACTCATCTGGCCTATTGCCTTTGGGTCAAGACGCCCAATGCTCCAGTCCATGGTGTGAGTCGGAACTTTTTGCAGAAAAAAACCCCAAAGCTTAAGGCCGTTTATTATGACCCTTGGTCATTTCAACTCCCAGGAGCCCTCTCCCCATCTCCCTATTTAGCAGCACTCAGAGTCTGCTTTAGACAATTATCCCTTTCTCGACGCACTCTGGCCCCAAAGTGGGCACGTGACACAAGACAGCAGACAGTCACACCCTAGAATCTGAATCTTTAGAGAGAACATTTTGGAACTGCCCAAATTTTGGCTTTTTGTAGTCTGGTTGAATTCTCCCTCCAAAGTTCCCCTAGATTAATTTTCTACGTAAGTGAGTCAAAATTGGTTCTGTTTCCTAAAGGCCTGTGTGAAAGGAACTGTTTTTTGCTCAGCCAGCAGCTGTGCGCACTTCAGTACTTCTCTGGGCGGGAAAGATCCTAGTGAGGAAAGAGGTACACGTAGTATTTTGTCTTGGACAAGGGAATTAAAGACGCTGTAAGGAAAAACACGGAGCCAGTAAGTAACCCAGACCACCAAGGCAATGCTAGGTTTTGTTGAGGAAGGTCCTAGTCGTCTCTGTTCAAGTAAGGGCATCAACACGAGACAGCTGACACTGGTCACGCTCTTCTCTTTCAGTTGCTACCACTGGGTGTCCCGCATGTTGTTTTCCTTCCGGGCCAATAACCACGCTCGTGCATTTGATTAAATTTTATTTTTGGAAGGGCATTCCTCCCGGTTTGTTGAGATTACATAATCAAGGGGTCTTAAAAAAATGTTAATCATGAAAGCCTAGCATCATCTGCAAAAATCAGGCTATGCTGCTAAGTACAATCAAGATTATAAGAACACAAATGTCCTTAAGTCTACCGGACCTTAAGAAATATTCACCATCACCCACTAGAAAAAGGCAAAACGTTGCCCTCCTGAAAAGGTGGATCACTTTTCAGGAAACCAGAAGAGTTTCCCAAAGCCTTAACAATTGTGATTATGTTAATAACCCTTACACATGCATTTTACATTTTACGCAATCTGTGCTAAGTCAGCTAGGAGTCAACAGGCCGGAAGTTGGCAGGCAAATCACACCCTTGCTGTTGCTGCTGTTCGTGAGGACACTTGGAGGTCCCCACCTGCAACTCAGAGGCTCTTCCCATTGTGTTCATACAGTATAAGTACACGTATGAAGAGACTTGCTACCAGTACTATGCAAAACAAGCACACTTAATACCGCAAGTCATTTTTAACACAGGATGTCCAAATGTTCAGACTTTTAACTATGTGAGACAAAGCCAAGATATCCCACCATTCCAATAAAAAAGTGGGAGGGGTAGTTTTAACATATCATTAATATGTCCTATTAAGTTTTTCTAGGGAAGACAGAGTAGCCCATACACAATCTAGGGACAGAGGAAAACTCAGATCTCGGAAGACCTGGGGTTTCCGTGCCCCGCCATGTGGAGGGCTTACCTTCTTCCTTGCCAGACACCTGCTAGTTGCGAAGACCAAGGTCATTCCAATTGCTCTGCATTAGGAATTTCACTGCCCCTGACAGCCCACACGTGGAAGGTTCTTTGTGCCTGCGTGGCAGCACAGGGCCCGTAAAGGGAGAGGATGAAAGCATTCCCCGAGAGACTGCTGAAAAGAACCCCCTGCCCCGGTCTGCCCCCAAAAGCACTCATGATACTCTTTAACTACATTCAAGGAATGAGACGGGAAAGAACGGAGACACGCAGAGTCTAATGTACTCCAGCGGCCACCGCAAAGCCGGTCTTGCAACAAGCACGTGACCTAGCTCAAATCGCCCGCACCTCCCTCTTCAGTTTCTTCCCTCCGACGGGTCTTTGCTGCCAACACGACCGGTCTTCAAAGGCGCTGAGTCTCTTTTTTTTCCAAGTGGCTCAAGCTAGTTTTAATCCTTCCCAATAGGATCCAGGTGAAAATAGCCTTGGGAATGCAGCAGCAGGGGAAACAAGGAATATACAGAAGCAGAAAGTTTAGGAGAAGGGCCTCCCAGTGTTGAGTTAGAGACAAAGGTGCCAGGCTGCTGCCAGCAGCGGGGTCACCAGCAGAGCCATCTTCCCGGAGACAGTGGTGCCAAAGCTCCTGTTACACAGGTCCTGCTGGCAGCAGCGGTACTGGAGCTTCTGAAGCCCCAAGGAAGCCGAGATGCGCTCGAAACTGCAGTCCGCCAACTTCCAGCACTGGTAGTAATAGGATTTGGGCTCTGTGGGGGAGACACACACACAAGGGTGAGCAAGTGGGCAATGTTCTGTGCCTGCCTTCGAACTCCTGATCCTACTTCTTAGAACCTAGCTCCGAAGGGAAGTAGAGACATCCGGGCAAGAATACGTATCCTAGTCGGGCTATAAAGGGGAACGATTGAGCGACTGATGATGCGGCTCGAAAAGGAACTTTTCCCTAAAACCAAAGTCTCGTGAGAACCCGCACAGCTGTGTGTGGTGGGAGCCCACAGGGGATCGTGCTGAGGTTTTAGGGGTTTGCTAAGATTTTTAAACACATACTCCCATTGATCCAACAACCTTACTTCTAGAATTTGCTCTATGAAGTTCCTTGTGAAAAAGATTAGGAGAGATCCTCAAGAATGGTTACTGCAGGGGGCGCCTGGGTGGCTCAGTGGGCTAAGCATCCGACTCCAGCTCAGGTCATGATCTCACGGTTTGTGGGTTCGAGCCCCGCGTCGGACTCTGTGCTGACAGCTCAGAGCCTGGAGCCTGTTTCAGATTCTGTGTCTCCCTCTCTCTCTGCCCCTTCCCTGCTCGTACTTTGTCTCTCTCAAAAATAAATAAACATTTAAAAAAATCCCTAAGAAGTGGAAACCCACATGTCCATTAATTGGTGAATACATAAACAAAATGTGGTCTATCCATACACTGGAATATTATTCAGCCATAAAAATGAATGGAAGTATTGATAACGTGTGATAACACGGGTGAACCTTAAACACATTATGTTTGGTGAAAGAAGCCAGTCACAAAGGCCACAAATACTGTAGAATTCCGTTTATATGAAATGTCCAGAACAGGCAAATCCATGGGGACAGCAGGTAGATTAGTAACTTCTGGGTTATGTGGCAGGGAGGAATGGGAAATGGCTACTTAATGGGTAAGGATTTTCTTTTCGGGATAAAAATATTCTGGAGTTAGTGATGACAGACGTGCAACCTTGTGAATACACTAAAAGTCACTGCATTGTATTATTTTAAATTGTATGTGAATTATATCTCAATAGAATGGATGCAGGACAATATGTAGAATGAGAGCCATCTGTGTAAATAAAGTGTATGTGTGGAGGTAAATGCATTAATTTTTTTCTGGAAAAATCCCCAAGGAATTTAACAGTGTTACCTTCCCAGAAGACTATCCTTCATTTATATATTGCTTATGAACCGAGATTTTTTTTTATTTTTTTTATTATTTTTTTTTTCAACGTTTTAATTTATTTATGGGACAGAGAGAGACAGAGCATGAACGGGGGAGGGGCAGAGAGAGAGGGAGACACAGAATCGGAAACAGGCTCCAGGCTCTGAGCCGTCAGCCCAGAGCCTGACACGGGGCTCGAACTCACGGACCGTGAGATCATGACCTGGCTGAAGTCGGACGCTTAACCGACTGCGCCACCCAGGCGCCCCTAGATTTTTTTTTTTTTTAAGTAATTGGATAACTTTTTAAAATATTTTAAACTTCATTTAAAAATCATTAGACTATTCAGTAATATAGGAAGAGTTTCCAAGAAAACATGCCACTATGGTCCCAATCTTTGCACACATAGAAAAATAAAAGCCAAAAGCATATATGCCAACTATCCCATGGTTTTTTTTAGTATTCAGAAAAATGAAGGGAAAAACAATGTGTTAGTTGAGAGGAATTATGGTAGATTTTCCTCTCCGAAATAACTGTCTATGTGCCAAGACTGTGTGCTACAAACTGGGGATATACAGACATAGGAGGTATGGGCCTTGCCCTGGAATCCCTTTCTTATCTTCTGTGCTGGGAAAAAAGAAAAAAAAATGCAGATACCTATTTCCTTATTAAAGGCTTGTAACTAAATTTCATTCATGGCTGGGAACAAAACTACATTTTTAAAAAAGTTTTATTTATTTTGAGAGAGAAAGAGATAACAGGTGCACAGAAGCAGGGGAGGGTCAGGGAGAGAGGGAGAGAGAGAATCCCATGCAGGCTCCGCACCATCAGCACAGAGCCCAACTTGGGGCTTGATCTCACGACCTTGAGATCATGACCTGAGCCGAAATCAAGAGTCGGACATTTAACTGACTCAGCCACCCAGACGCCCTCAAAACTACATTCATAATTGCAAATGTAACTGTCCCACCTCCCCCTCAGAGGGAATGTGTGTTTGGACTGAATTTTAATGAAGTTTGGTCAAGTGGCAGAGGCCAGAGTGTTCTAGTGACTTTACTTTCTTGGTCATCGGTATTTAAGAAGATGCCTCCAATAGAGGATGCTGTAGAACAGGGCAAGTTACTGCTTTCCATAATACTAACCAGGCAGTGGAACTGGAAAAACATTAAAGCTACCAGAATTTTAATTAGGGGAACCTAACAGCCTGGAGTGAGCAGATAGCAATTTATTAATAATTGCTACCAATTAATCATTTACTATGTGTCCTGCAGTGAGCCAAGCATCTGCTTCAATGGTCTTTTTAATTTTTTTTAATGTTTATTTTTGAAGGAAAGAGAGACAGAGCATGAGCGGGGGAGGGGCAGGGAGAGAGAGGGAGACAGAGTCTGAAGCAGGTTCCAGGCTCGGAGCCTTTCAGCACGGAGCCTGACACCAGGCTCAAACTCATGAACTGTGAGATCACGACTTGAGCTGAGGTCAGATGCTTAACCAACCGAACCACCCAGGCGCCCCTCTACTTCAATGATCTTATTTGCATAACAACCTCTGATGTGGTGAGCTCACCAAAGCCTCCGTCAGAACCACCCAAATAAAGCAGATTATATCAGAGTCACTGGAATGTTAGAGGTTCTCTCTCTGCTTGACGCATCATCCCGGCTCTCTTTGAAGATTTAGTTTGCGTCTAACGTCACCAAGCAACAGTCCCTAATTGTCCTCGGCACCTCTAAGTGTGCCCCTTGTTCAGAAGGTCATAAGGGCAATGATGGCTTGGCGCAGTCACGAGGCTTCTGCCAGAGTCTAAGCACGTGGTTTGTAATGCTGGGACATGGCCAGGATGCCAGGAAGTATCAGCTGAATTCACACTCAACGCCTACTTCTCTTCTAGACTCACTCTGTACAGCACCATCATGTGCGTTTTCTCTTCAAACTGCCCCCCTGACCCCAGAAGAGAAGTATGCCCACTTTCTAGTTGGGGAAAATGTGGCTAGAGTAGTTGAATGATCTCTCCAAGGAGTACCTGACCTTTGACTCATGTTTTTGACAGTGTGCCCTGCCTCTCCCAGGAGACGTCAATCCGAGCTGCAGGGGGATTTAGGTGCTCTGTTAGTATCTGTCTTACTGCAAGGTCAAAACAGCTCTAGTTCAAGAACTGCTATTACATGTCTGGCCGAATTTGGGGACTTCTGTACATAAGAAGAAAAATATTTAAGATTCATGTTATCCCTTTTTAAAAAATAGATTTTATTCTTTAGAGGACCTTTAGATTCACAGCAAAATTGAGCAGATGTAGAGTTCTCAGCCCCCTGACACCTCTGTGCCCACCCTAAAGAACCTCCCCGTTATCAGCATCTCCCCCCCCGCCCCCCCCCCCAGTGGGACACTTGGTAACAACTGAGGAACCCACATGGATTTATCATTACCATCCAAAATCCATCATTTACGTTTCGGTTCGCTCTGGGTGTTGCATGCAATTTGACATACACGTGGCACATGTCCACCAATATAGTATCACACAGAGTAGTTTTGTTGCCCTAAAATCCTGTGCTCCACCTTTTCATCCCTCCCTCCTTCCTGCTAACCCCTGGCAACCAATGACCTCTTTATGGTCTCCTTTTGCCTTTTCCAAAATGTCCTACCATGGAATGATACATTACGTAGCCTTTTCGTATTGGCTTGTTTCCCTCAGTAATAGGCATTTAATTTTCCTTCATGTCTTTTCATGGCTTGATAGCTCATTTCTTTTTAGTCCATTGTCTGGATGTACTACAATGCACAGTTCATTTACCCATTCACTTACTGAAGGGCATCTGGTTGTTTCCAAATCTTGGCAACCATGAATAAAGCTGCTAGAAACATCTGTGTGCAGGTTTTTGTGTGGACAGAAGTTTTCAACCCCTTTGGGTATATATTCAGTGAGTGCTGAATCACACAGTGAGAGCATATTTAGCTTATTTAAGAAACTGCCAAGCCGCAATTTTGCATTCCCACGAGCAGCGAATGACAGTTCCTTTTGCTCTGAACCCTTGTCAGCATTTGGTGTCAGCATTTTGGATTTTGGCCACTATTAATAGGTGGGTCTTGTTATTTATACGAACCACTTTTTCTGCCCCAAAGTTTATTTTTATTTATTTTGAGAGAGAGACAGACAGAGAGAGAGAGCAAGAGGGGGAGGGGCAGAGAGAGGAGGAGACAGAATCCCAAGCAGGCTCCATGCTGTCAGAGCAGAGCCAGATGTGGGGCTCGAACTCACAAACAGTGAGATCATGACCTAAGCTGAATTCAAGAGTCGGATGTTTAACTCACTGAACCACCCAGGCGCCCCTACACAAACCACTTTTAAAAGTGGAACAATTCATTATAAGATAGATAAGTTTTGGATGTCTCACATATAGCATGGTGAGAATAGTTACTAATATTGCATTGTATGCTTGAAATTTGCTAAGAGGATAGATCTTAGTGTTCTCATCACACACAAAAAAGGCAACTGTGAGGTGCTGGATGTGTTACTTAGATCACTGTGGTAATCATTTCACAATGCATACAAATATCAAATCATTACACTGTGTACCTCAAGCATACGCAATTTTTCTCTATCAATTGTTGTTCAGTAAAGTTGGAAAATTTTTCAAAGAAGTTTAACAATCAGAAACAATGGGATTTGAGAGCTGGAAAAAAGATTTGGCTCTACTTCCCTCCTTCCCTCTCCTCTTCACCTCTACCATCCAATACACATATTACATTTCATAAATGAAAAAATACAGGCAGAAGGAACTTACTGGATGGAGGCAGGACAGAGATGGGAGATGGGAGCTCCTAACTGCTAATCTAATTCTTACTCTACACATAATATTGCCTTTATTCTGTTAGTATCCAAAATCTATAAAGAACTTCTCAAACTCAACACCCAAAAAACAAATAATCCACTGAAGAAATGGGCAAAAGACATGAATAGACACTTCTCCAAGGAAGACATCCAGATGGCCTACCGACACATGAAAAAATGCTCAACATCACTCATCATCAGGGAAATACAAATCAAAACCATAAGGAGATATCACCTTACACCTGTCAGAATGGCTTGCATTAACAACTCAGGCAACAACAGATGTTGGCAAGGATGCGGAGAAAGAGGAACCCTTTTGCATTGTTGGTGGCAATGCAAGCTGGTGCAGCCACTCTGGAAAACAGTATGGAGGTTCCTCAAAAAACTAAAAATAGAACTACCCCACGACCCAGCAATTGCACTACTAAGCATTTATCCACGGGATACAGGTGTGCTGTTTTGAAGGGACACATGTACCCCCAAGTTTATAGCAGCACTATCAACAATAGCCAAAGTATGGAAAGAGCCCAAATGTCCATCAATGGATGAATGGATAAAGAAAATGTGGTGTGTGTGTGTGTGTGTGTGTGTGTGTGTATATATATGTATATATATATATGTATATATATATATATGTATATATATGTATGTATATAATGGAGTATTACTCGGCAATCAAAAAGAATGAAATCTTGCCATTTGCAACTATGTGGATGGAACTGGAGGTTATTATGCTAAGTGAAATTAGTCAGAGAAAGACAAAAATCATGACTTCACTCATATGAAGACTTTAAGAGACAAAACACATTAACATAAGGAAAGGGAAACAAAAATAATATAAAAACAGAGAGGGGGACAAAACAGAAGAGACTCATAAATATGGAGAACAAACTGAGGGTTACTGGAGGGGTTGTGGGAGGGGGGATGGGCTAAATGGGTAAGGGGAATTAAGGAATCTACTCCCGAAATCATTGTTTCACTATATGCTAACTAATTTGGATACAAATTTAAAAAAATAAAAAATTAAATTAAATATAAAAAAAATATTGCCTCTATTCTCTTATTTGGAAATGACACTTTTGTGGAGGGAGGTGGGAGAGATGTGGCTGAAGAGACACAGATGATCAAGGTTAACTTGATGCATGTGCTCATACATAACTGTGTTCAAATATTTGTGGAGTGAGTGGCCATGTTCTCTCCAGGGGCCTTATTGTGCTTTCTACATTAACAATGAATTATTATGGGCCTCTCTATCGAGGTAGAGGACCTGTCCTACACAATCAAGGACCTTGCATTGTAGGGCTTGGAATTTTAGCCACATTCCAGGAATTTATATCAAAATTATCAGATACTCCAGTCAGATAGGATAATTCTGATTTGTCCTTACTTATTGAAGGATTTCTTCTTTCTAGGCAAATTAATCTTCTTCTCCTTTCTATTGGGTTTTTCTGAACCTGTGGGTCTCCCGAGCCTTTTAGTTCACCTGATATGTTCAGTATTCTTTGTGGCTGACTCTGGAAAGGCTTTGTGGTAGAGTACAGAAGAAGAGAATAACCTTGAAGGGTGTTTTTATTTTTCTCTCTTAGATGACAGTTACTGCTTGTTGAATACAAGCCTGATGAGAATGAATGTGGCGCTCATTTTTTCCCAGGCCCTCCTCATCCCCTTACAGTTAGGAGGCAGGGAAGGGGCAGGCTCTTACCGGCTTCAATGTAGAGACACGAGTCAAAATTCGATGAACAAACGGAGGTCTTAGTGCAGTTACCACTCACTGGTGACACACAGCTGTAGCATGTCAGGCTATGACCTAGAATCAGAAAGAAACCCGTCAGGACTTGTTAGAGCAACACTAACTTGCCGTCCTGGCGGAAGGAGGCCCACCATCTGCACTCGGTGGGACGGGGGCTCACAGCTCACAGCGCGCTTCCATTCCCACACAGATCCATAGCAGATCTATTTTTCCAACCTCAAACTGCAGTCCCAGCAGCAATTTTTGGACCCTGATACAAGTACAAAAAGAATTTCCATGTGTCAAAATCCCTAGAACTGTGCAAATGAGAAGCTTCCTCTTACCCTCAACTAGAAGTGATTTTTAAAAAGTGATTAATTTGTAGCGATGTATTAAAAGGTAACTATCAAGAGAATAAACTAACAGAATTCTATAAATGCCTTCCAGGCAACGAATACTCTGATCACATTCTCATAGATCGATAATCAGTTATGTGGCAGTATCTGTCTGTGTGAAAGGACATTTTTGAAAATGAAATATGTAAAATCTCATAGAAGAATGTCATGGTGAAACTCAGACCAAGTGTGGGTTTTAGAACCCAAGAGCTAACTTGCAGTTGTAAGGCCAAAGCATATATCCATCCCCAGGGGGGAGGGAATTTTCCAGAAGGCCAGAAGAAAGTGGCTCCTCACTATCTGAGCATATAGGAGCCAAGCTCTCTAGAGCATCTTAAATGGCCATGTTCGCCTTCCCTGGTGTGAAATCCCACCTAGCAGACGACTCTCCATCTGTGAAGGTTCCAGATTAACCTTTGAAAGGTCAGTCCAAATAACTCCCTCCTACCACTTTGTTTGCAGATGACGAGACAGATGCCTGGAGCCAGGCGCCCTCCCATAGGGTGAAGGTGGTGGTGGTGGTGGTGGGGGGGGGGTTAGCCCACTCTGCCTCTTCCTTCCTGAGGGCGTTGGTGGCCCGTGTGGGAGGGGAGCCACAATCGGAAGGGACAGAGACGCAATGTTTCTGCAGTCCCCTCCTGTTCCGGATGAGCGTACACACGCATGAGAGGGGAGAATGTAAGAGGGAGGGTGAATTCTGGCTCGGATCCTGGAGACGGCCGTTTGAAAGGTTGTTCCTAGGACTGAATCTTCTCCTGGCTAGAGCCAGAGTTCATTTGGTTTCTTCTTCTTCTCTTTTTTTTAAATGTTTATTTATTTTGAGAGAGGAAGAGAGAAAGCAGTGAGCAGGGGAGGGGCAGAGAGAGGGGGGAGACAGAGAATCCTAAGTAGACTCCCCGCTCCCAGCGCGGAGCCCGACACAGGGCTCAAACCCGTGAACCATGAGGTCCTGACCTGAGCGGCAATCAGAGTCAGATGCCCAACCGCGTCACCCACGCGCCCCTTCATGTGGCTTCTTGACAAACCTTTAAACAGTGGAACCAAAGTTCACCTTTGGAAATTCTGTTGGGCAGAAATATTCATAGCTACCATGTTCATTCAGTGTGCAAATATCCACGTACCCACATGCTAAGCATTGGGTCAGTCTTGCTGAGGTCGACGAAAAAGTGAGCGCATGACCTCATGGTTCAGATCCATGTCCCCGGGGACCGCTCACCTGAATGGCAGAGGACGGCCAGGATGAGCAGGAGCACCAGCAGGATGAATCCTTGGCTTCCCATCGTGATCATCCACAGACTCTGCAAGGAAGGGACACAAAGGGTGGTCACAAACCAACAAATGGGTGCTGGTTATCTCAGAGACCAACAGCTGGAGGGCCTGGAGCCTTCAGGTAGCATGGGGAAGGAGTTAGCAGATCGAGAAATGGTCTAGAAATGGTCTGGGGTGCCATGAACCAAGGTGCTCTCCTGGTCCCTCCTCTTGCCCCCAAACCTCAGGTTACTAAAGAAACGCTGCCGGTCCTGGGAGAAGGGTGGCTGTGGGAGTCAAAGTGCACCTGGCCGAGAGTCAGCAGTGCCCGGGCCCCAACCCCAGCTCTCACCTACAGTGGCCGTGAATAAACGTCCACTCCAAGCCACAGTCGTCACGATCACGCAGTGGGGATAGCACTCTCTTCCCCATAAGTGTTGTTTAGTCAAACGGGAATACGAGAAAAATACTTAATTCAGCAACTACAATTCCCACTCTGCTGGCCCCACCCGAAGCCGCTGGCTGAGCCGGGGCCTAGCAAGGGTCACCTTTCCGGGCCATGTCACTAAGTGTGTCAGGCCAGACAGGTGACACTGGTGCCCTCCAGATGCCGGTGCCTGCTGCGGCAGAACAGGAGGCAAAGGTTTAGCATGCACAGAAGCTCCCCACCTTAGCAAGTGTGATGGAGACACCGCCTTGTTCACCTCCCCCCCTCTGGGGAGGTAAAGAGGGGTCTGGGTGACTTTGACGACCAGTCCCACTACAGTAATGCCTACGTGGGTACAGTGAGCATCAGGGGAGGAGACGGAAGGGTTGAGATAGCTCAAACCCTTTTCACCCGATAAGGAAGGCAAAGCACAGAGAGATTTCTAACTGAGTAAGTATAAGTCAGCTCTAAGAAGTCTCCCAATCCCACCCCTACCTTCCCGCCCCCCTCCTGAAACAAGGAGGCAACAGTGCCTCTAAACCAAGATGCCCCACAATCTAGGCGCCTCAGCCCCACAGGTCAGGACTTCTGCCTGACAGGCCCAGGGTCTCCTGGTAGGTGAGCCCCCCACCCCTCTTTAAGTTAGGAACATCATCTCCACACCTCTGAAGGTCATCCTCTGCTCAGAAATGGGCTGAAGATGGTCAGGGGAGGGGTGAGAACCAGAAAGAACAGATTCTGGCATTGCTCAAAGAAAACACTGAGTAAGTCATGCCTGGATCAAAGAGACACGTTGCTTTCCTGATGTGTGGGGAACTAGGAAGAAAACCAAACAGGGCCTGGCCTTTCTTTACAAGTTGAATAACTTCTACCTCCTTCTGGCCTCTTCAAAATCTGCAACAACCTACTAATGGCCACCCCCCCCACCCCCATGCTGAGCCTCCTGGGGGTTAGCTACCCACAGCAACCCCATACAGTGAGGATTGGAGGTGCCCAAGGGCAGAGGTTAGAGCTCAGATGTCGGAGTGGCAGAGATCTGGATGTAGGGCAGGTTATGCGGCTGCAACCAGGCCTCATTCACTTCATCTACAACAAGCGGCGGGTACAGAGGTGCGATCCAACACCGTGAGGATTTATGGAGGTAAAACAAGTTAAATGAGTATGTGCTTGACACAGCCAGGCACACACAAGTGGTGGATGTGTGGATGCACACCGACTTCTTGCCCTAACTCAGACAGGCATGTCTACTACACCTCCTGTTCTGAGTACCTGAGTACTGGGATCTTTCTTCCTGGACCCTCCCCCTGAGAGGTGGGGGCCCTGAGGCCTCCGTACTCTAAGTGAAGAGGAAGAGGCGTCAGCCCTTCCTGCTGGCATCCTGACTGCCCTGCAATGCCCTCTGCCTGGAGCCAGAGGAGTGAGAACCCCTTCTACTCTCCCCTTGCTAGTGAGTGACCTGGGCCTGGGCACACTGCCAGCTCCCCGCCTGGCTTCTCACGTTCACCAGTTTCTGGGCAGAAAGGATAACTGACACGTTCAAGTTAGACAGGGCTCAGGTCTGTGAAGAACAAGGAGAGGAAGGTATTAATCTGAGGTCCCCCACAGCAGGGCAGGGGCTACAAAATAAGAACGGCTGCCACGTCAGGTGTCCCCCCTGGAGGAGGAGGAGGGAGGGAGCTCCAGGCCAGGGTCAGGAACTGGGAAGGTGTCAGGCTGGCAGGAACTTCCAGGCTTCCCCTGGAATGGTGACAGCAGCATGACAAACGGGGCCATACACAGAGGTGTCCCCTGATGAAGTGCATCGGAAAGAACCTGCCTCCTAAGAAACGCTCATCTCTTAACAAAAGCAGGGAAGAAACAATGAGCTGCTTAAGGGACAGGCTTTCCTGTCTGGTCTGGAGAGTCTGAACAAGGCCTTGAACAGGTCTGGCTCTGCCACCTACGTGCTGTGAACTCAACCTCTGAACTCCACTCTCCATTCATTAGCATGGGGATAAGTACACATACTGCATGGTACAACACCCGGCACTCAAGAAGGCACTCCGAAAGCAGTCGCCACTATAGTATTACTGAAGAGTTGTGAGGTTACCAGGAGGAAGAAACTGGGGAGGGAGGGGGTGATAAGAGGGAGGGGTGTGGAGGGTAGACAGAAGGTAGCATTAGGTGAGGAAGCCAGACAAACGCCCTGGAATGGATGAGCCGGGGACATCTAGGGCACCAGACGTTAAGGCAGCCCCCAGATTTTGGGGTTGGATGGAGAGTGTCAAGGCTTGGTTTCAACACATCACTTTGCTGGCTGGTAGTCACCGTGGCCGCTTCCGTGACATGGCTGTGGGAGGGGAGGGCAAAGATGGCAGAGGAAGAAGTGGCCAGTGTGCTGATACCAAGGTTAAGGTGTTCAAATCGAAATGAGACCAAGCCTTCGTTAACCACTACTAAAATATCAATTTCCAAGGGCAAAATGTTGTCATGGCAGGAGAGGGAGGAAAGAAAACACCTGATTGCTTTAAAGCTGTTTTATAAATGCCCCCAACATGTTGACAGTAGTTAATGCTAAGACGGATTATTTATGATTTCTTATTTCTCTTCCTTTACTTTTTGCCATACTTTCCCCAGCTATTCTATAATGGACCAGGTATTACTTTTATAATCAGAGATATTGGGAAAATCCACACATAACAAATGTTTCCCTTTTGGTGGTCACATAATATCACCCATCTTTTGGCAAATCTTTCTTCAGAATTAAATTTTTTTTTTTCAACGTTTATTTATTTTTGGGACAGAGAGAGACAGAGCATGAATGGGGGAGGGGCAGAGAGAGAGGGAGACACAGAATCGGAAACAGGCTCCAGGCTCTGAGCCATCAGCCCAGAGTCTGACGCGGGGCTCGAACTCACGGACCGCAAGATCGTGACCTGGCTGAAGTCGGACACTTAACCGACTGCGCCACCCAGGCGCCCCTTTCTTCAGAATTAAAACAAAAACAAACTGAACCTCATAATTTCAAACTCTTACCCCCTAGTCTAAAACACCCTCTGCTTTAAACTTTATTTATTTATTTTTTAACGTTTATGTATTTTTGGGACAGAGAGAGACAGAGCATAAACGGGGGAGGGGCAGGAAGAGAGGGAGACACAGAATCGGAAGCAGGCTCCAGGCTCTGAGCCATTAGCCCAGAGCCTGACGCGGGGTTCGAACACACGGACCGCGAGATCGTGACCTGAGCTGAAGTCAGACGCTTAACCGACTGAGCCACCCAGGTGCCCCTGCTTTAAACTTTAAAATGATGCCCATAAGTTAAGTGTACATCAGATGCTCTGCCATGACTTTCCCACTCCACCCAAGCCAAACACTTCCATGCAAAATGCACCCAGAGGGCCCCAACACTCTTCTTTGCTAAGCACATTAACTCATTTAAACAGCGGATTTAAGGGGCACCTGGGTGGCTCAGTCGGTTAAGCGTCCAACTTCAGCTCAGGTCACAATCTCATGGTTCCAGGGTTTGAGCCCCGCCCTGCATCAGGCTCTGTGCTGACAACTCAGAGCCTGGAGCCTGCTTCAGATTCTGTGTCTTCCTCTCTCCCTGCCTGTCCCCTACTCACGCTCTGTGTGTGTGTGTGTCTCTTTCTCTCTCTCAAAAATAAAAAAACAAATTAAAAAATTAAAAAAAATTTTTAAACCGTGGATTTAATTATTGGAAACAGACTAAAGTCATTCTGAATAAAGTCCAAAGACTAAAGATGGGTAAGCCTCCTGGAAAATACCATTTTGGAGTTGTAATACACACTTGAAGCCAGTCTTAGGAAGTATGGACAGGTTTTCCTGGGTGACTCTGAAGCTGATTCCTTCAGGGGTGCTCCAAATAGGCTTTTCATCTGCAGGAATAAGTAAACACTAGAAGATAGATAAGCGCTGTCTAAAACAGTAAACATTTGGCAACATACATGGCTATGAGTAAATTAGGTTCTACGGTGGGGAACTGCACAGCCATGAAGAGGGACAAACAGGGAAGGCTGTTCACAATGTATTAAGGAAAAAGCCAGTTTAAAAATAGCTATAATCTTATTACTTTTTGTTGAAAGTGATGCTTGGAATACTATATCAACTTTCCTGAACAGTTTTGGAACATGTGGTTGATAGAACAGTAGAATTATGAGCAGCTTGTTCATGCTTAAATATATTTTCTTAACAATAAACATTTTTATAGAAAGAGTTCTGAACGTGATAGCAGGATATGTTAATGTACTTACAAATCATTTTACTTGCAGCTTCAGTTTTTTTCCTACTACTCAACCTGATTAGGTATAAAAATATATACCACTTTTCAAAATTGGCTTGAGGTAAAAAAATGTTTTGTGTACATATCCTCTCCTATGTCTATCTGGTGACAATTATTTTAGTCACACTCTGTATTGGTAAAATATGAGGCTTGGGTGATTCTCTTGCAGTCCTGCAAGAGAGAGCTATATTCTAATCCCACTTTGCTGCCGATTCATAGAACCTTAAAGCGGTCAAATGAGAACTGACGTGTTCCTCATTTGTGAAGGGATAATGATTATTCTATATAATGAAAAAAATATAAGATTAATATGTGAGGGTTTTAAAGTTTAATATGGACTAAAAAGTAGCAGTTTAAGGAACAAACAAGCAGACAAATGTACATGCAATCCTGGAGTTACTCTGTCTTGGGCTCAGTCAGACCTGACCTGGAAATAGTATTTTTACTTCCTAGCGGCCAATTTCTGAATTCTTTCCCGTTTATCAGGATAGTAAAATAAACAGGTGTAGAACCCAGGAGAAATAGTTGAAGGAAGAAACCAGGACTCTTCTATTTGAAAAAATATAGTCAGAGACAATTACTGTCTTCAGATATGCTGAGGGTCACTGAGAAAGGGAGGGAGAGGTTATCCTGTGTAATTTCCAAAGGCAGCATCAGGACTTCCTAAGGAACAACTATTTGCCTCCACCCCATCCCTCCTACCTTCCTGCTGTGTGTGAGGCAATGTGCAGAGTATCAGCACATCTGGAAAGCAATTCCCTTGGTAAAATGGAAAAAAACTTCTCATCACTTGACAATGTTCAAGCAGAGAGCAGAGATCAAGGATCACAGACATTGCAGAAAAGGTTCCTGCAGAAGGCAGCAAGGGGTTAAAACCAAAGCTCTCAGAAGTACAAAAGATTCATTTTACAGTAAAACCAACCTGATAATTATTTATTCATTTGCATCCACCTGAGATGGAAGAGGAAGCTGAAACGTTGCAAGGCGATTTACAAATACAGACATCCCTGATCAAGTTCCTGAAAATGCTTTAGGTAGCAAATTTATGGATAGTGTGAGCCCACATTCCACCCCACCCCCCATATTCCATTATTGTAAAAGGAAAACAAAGGGATGTTACGGTCCATCCAGAAACTCCAACCAGTCCTTCCAAATAACTATCTAAACAATTCATAGAACTTGAACATGAAGCATTTAACACATCACTATTTAATGACACAGCTTAAGCAAATGAAAGGAATTCACTGGTGAGTGGGCATATTTACTGCCGTTAAGTAGGTTCACTCTCAACACCTACACCCCATTCATCCCACAACAATTATTTATGAGCCCCCTGTGAGCAGGTACTGTGTTAGGCGCTGTGTTAGTGACCAGTGAACCAGGCAAGGCCCCGCCTAGAACTTTATAATCTAGTGGAGGTAGACATCACCTAGTGCTAAAGACTAGAAAGAAAACAAAATAAGGAAGCAGCACCGGTTCTGAAACGCAAGTGGCATAAGAGTCACCTGGAAGGCCATTAAGCACAGATGCAGAGCCCCATCTCTAGAGGTTCTGGGTCTTGGGTCTGGGGTGTGGGGGACAAGAATTTGCATTTCTAACCAGGAACACACCGAAAACCACTGGGTTAGAGGGTGACCAGGGACAAGGGTGAGGCTAGTTTAGATAGGGCTGGAAGCGTCTCTCCCAACAATGTTGTGAGAGAAGCTGTTAGTTCTAATTAAATAATTAAAGGCTTCTTCTCCTTTTAAGGGCCTGTGTGATTACACTGGGTCCAATGTTACTGAATGCATTAACTGTATTTAATCCTCACACAATGTTGTAAAGTAAATTTAATCTGCCTCCATTTATCAAAAGAGGAAACTGGATCAAGGAGGGGAATGAATTTAGGCAACTGTGGTAGGCAGAATAAATAACACCTCTCTTCCCCAAAGGTGTCCGCGTCCTAATTCCCGGTACCTGTGAATACTGGCAACCTTAGATGGCAAGTGACTTTGTAGATGAGATTAAGGTTACAGCCTGTTCTGGATTATCCATAATCATGTGGGCGATTACATTGAAGAGGACAGGAAGGCAGTAGGATCTGTCAGAGATGTGAAAACAGAAGCGGGACGCCTGGGTGGCTCAGTTGGTTAAGTGTCCAACTTCAGCTCAGGTCCTGATATCAGGGTTTGGGAGTTCGAGCCCCACATCGGGCTCTCTTCGGATCTTCTGTCTCTCTTTCTTTCTGCCCTTCCCCCACTCATTCCTTCTCTCTCTCCCCCCACCTCAAAAATAAATAAACATTAAAAAAAAGAAAAGAAAATGAAGCAAGTGGGGGAGCCTCATTGACAGCTGGTAGAGCATGTGACTCTTGATATCAGTGTTGTAAGTTTGAGCCCCACGTTACAGACTACTTAAAAATAAAATCTTAAAAAAAAAAAAAAGAGGAAGAAGAAGAGGCAAGAGATTCAAGGAGGAGGATGGAGCTCTCTTACTACTGCTGATTTTGTGAACGGATGAAGCGGGGTGGGGGGGCCACAGATGAGGCATACAGGTGGCCTCCAGAATAGTCCTCAACTGACACTTGACCAGGAAACGGGACCTCAGTCCTCTAACCAAATGGACTCTATTGTGCCAATAACCTGAATGAGCAAGGAATGGCTTTTCCCACAGAGCCTCCAGAAAGGAACACAGTACTACCAACACATTGACATGAACCTGGTGATGCCCACAGCAAGACTTCTGACATACGGAACCACAGATTTAATTAATCTGTGTTGTGTTAAGCCCCTAAACTTGTGATGATCTGTTTTAGCAGCAATAGAAAACGGATGCACCAACCCCAGAGCTGGTAAATAGTTAAAGCAGCATTTAAACTCAGCTCTGAGCTTTTACCCACAGTTAAACTCTCTGGAGAGGAGACTTCTCGTGAATTCAGCTTCTGAAGTAAATTATTAAGCTGGGGCCACCAGAGAAGAGACTTTTATATCGATGCTGGTTCCAAGAGATTCACAGATACCCATCAGTTTAGTTTCTGCTCCTGGGAGCGTGGCACCTCAGAGGCTGATGAACTTTAAGGCCAGAAGTGTCCTCAAAAATGAAATCTAGGGTTCTCATGTTCTAGAAAATTATTGGAACCCCAGGGAATGAAGTTACCTGTCCTGAGGCAACATGTTAGTTGCAGAGCCACACTGGGTGGGTCCTGCTTCCATTCACCAGGGGCTGGTAACTCACAAGTGGCTTAGTGTCAGAGGCTTGGAGCTTTGCCTCCTTATCACCTTGGGACACATATAGTGCCTGCTGCAGCCACGTATACAGACACCCCTAGACAAAAATCAGTTACCCAGTTCACAGAAGTAATTACATCAGAAGGTAGAGACAAACAGAAAGCCACCATCATAATGAACAGCCCCTCCCAGCCACCTGGGAGGTCCCACTGCCAGGGACAACCCCCCCAAAACTCTCTAAACCACATAAATCTGCAGCTTTCCCTACAAGGGCCTTCTCTGCCATTTGTTCCAGGACTGCAAGAGTTAGAGGTCTCCGAAGAGGGCCTCTTATTAGAGAGCCAACTCATGGCCCTGCCCTTTGAGGTTATACATGCATAGCCAATGGTTTAGTGAAGATATTTCACAAAGATACAGAGCTTAGATAAAAAGTACATATTCCCCTTGAGGAAAACCTCAAGCACCTCTGGGCTTGGTTTTGTTTTTTGGCATTCTGCCCGAAGTTTAAGAGCTGACCCAGAATTTGTAATTTGCTTCTTTTCAGGAGCTGGTACCTGCAGCTGTCAAGGTGAATTCCATTACACAGCTGCTCTCCTCATTGTAAAACCCACTTTCTTTGGGCTTTGATTTTCCAAATCACTCAGTAATAACGGGCTGTTTTCCTTATATCAAGGTTCAGCAAATGGTTTCCTGTTTCTGCTTTAAAAATACAGAAGTGACAACTTGTAGGCATTTTTGGTTCTCTGCGAGGCAAGTCTTTATCTTCCTTGGGGTTACAAATCTACCGCCAGAGTAAATAACCACATTTAAAAAAGTGTTTTTTAATGTTTATTTTTGAGGGAGAAAGAGAGAGAATATGAGCAGGGGAGGGGCAGAGAGAATGGGAGAGAGAGAATCCAAAGCGGGCTCCAAGCTATCAGCAGAGAGCCTGCTCGGGGCTCCAACTCAGGAACCGTGAGATCATGACCTGAGCTGATGTCAGATCCTTAGCCGACTGAGCCACCCAGGCGCCCCATAAATGACCACATTTTGAGAAATGTTAACACCCCTAACAATGAACATTCTGAGCTGTATGTATCTTCCTTGGAGAAGTGGGCGTAAAATGCCCTTATGGGGAACAGGAACAATTGCTGTGGGGACACCCAAAATACTAATAGCCACCATTTGTGCCTCACAAACAGGTGCCAAACTGATTTCCACAAATTACCTCAGTCCTTTTAACACCCTATGAAGTAAAGCCTATTATTTTACTGATAATAATGTGAGGTTAAACAGCTCGCTCAAGATTACCCAGCCAGTAAACAGCAGAGCCAAGATTCAAACCCGGGTGTGCTGCCCAGGCCCTTGACCACTACACCGTGACACATGAACTTGGTGGTTGTGAATTCACCATTTCTATTCATGCACACCAAGCTTCAAACTCTACCTGATTCCAGGTGGATTCCAGAGCCACGGTCACCAAGAGACAGATTAAGCTAGGTAAGGTAGGGCAAAAGTGGTAGAAAAGAGGTGTTTTCCTGAGAATCGAACACAGAGTCATCTCTGGGTTAAGTCTCCTACGTTTGAAGTCTTTACCTCCATTTCACAAATTGTTTATTATCACAAGCTAACCTTGACAGGGGCCCTATGTAGGCTATGTCTCTAAATCTGTAAAATGTACGGGCTGATTTGTTTAGAATTAGGTAGAAGTATTGCAGTTGAGAGAGGTGGGCAGCCAGGTCTCCACTGGGGCCCCTTAACCTCTTGAAGAAAGTCACCACCAAGTAAGAACATGATTTTTAAATTTTTTTTTTTCAACGTTTATTTTATTTTTGGGACAGAGAGAGACAGAGCATGAACGGGGGAGGGGCAGAGAGAGAGGGAGACACAGAATCGGAAACAGGCTCCAGGCTCTGAGCCATCAGCCCAGAGCCTGACGCGGGGCTCGAACTCACGGACCGCGAGATCGTGACCTGGCTGAAGTCGGACGCTTAACCGACTGCGCCACCCAGGCGCCCCAGAACATGATTTTTAAAAGCACCAGCTGGTGGGCGCTTGGGTGACTCAGTGGGTAAGCATTTGATTTTGGCTCAGGTCATGATCTCATGTGGACTGAGTCCCAGATCGGCTCCTGGCTAAGCCTGCTAGGGGTTCTCTCTCTCCCTTTCTCTCTGCCCTGTCTCCGCTCGTGCGCGTGCTCTCTCGCTCTCAAAATAAATAACATTAAAAAAAAAAAAAGGCATCAGCTGGTCACAACAGGAGGTACCATGGCCACAGCCGGTTATAGAGAGTAGGAAAAGCACCGTCAAAAGGAAAGCGTGAGAAAGTCTCTGGGCTAGCGCCTTCACAAGGTGCAAGATGAACGCACTATTTCACAACCCGGGCCTGCCCAGGACAGAAGCAGGAAACCTGATCTCAGAAGTCTCTGCCAAGGTGAGTCACTAACTCCAGCTCCTCTCATTGTGGGTGCGTTCCAGGCTAGCTTCCAGAAGCCATTTCCATTGCCCGGCCGCCGCCCACGTGTGTTAGTTAGCTAGCCGAGAGATGGCATATGTGACGCGGCGCATTTCCAGGATCCATGGAGAACCTGCTTCTCGTTAAATAACAACACAAACCTCGATTTAACATTGCTTTGCAAGTCCGCTGCCAGACTCCAGGAAGGGGGTAGCCCCCTCAAAACAAAATGTCTACGTTTCGGTCCCGCCCTTTTTCCAATTCCAAATTTGTACAGCTAGAGAAGGTCTGTTACCACCTGGCACGGAGCGGGTTTAACCTCCTTTCGAGGCATGATTTCTCTTCCCTAAGGTGCAAGAGCTTCCCTTCAGAGCGAGCCGAGGGCAGGTGGTCGGGGTTCCAGGAAGATATTCCCTAGGCAACGGAGGGCACAGCGCGCAGGATTTGGGGTGTTTCAGAAAGGGCGCCCACTCCTCCCCCCCTCTCTTCTTTTTGTTAACAAAAAGAAGAGAAGGGAGGGAGGAGTTGTGCAGGGCTCTCCTGGGCAGCCCCAGGCAGGCCACCAGGGGCCTCCGGTGCCGGGAAGCCTCGGGCCGCGGGCAGAAGGGCCTGGGGGAGGATGCCGAGAGTCGCCACTCCTCCTGGGGTCTCCGCCCGCCCCGATCCCGCCACAGGTGAGGGCACGCACCGAATCTAGCTCACTGCAGCCTCAGGTTCCGGGTGCGGCTCGGACCCAGCCCAGCCCAGCCTCCGGCCTTACCTGCCAGCAACCAGGGTGTCTGTTCCAGCGCCGCGCGGCCCGTGTGCTCTGGCCCCGCAGGTCTTTTCAGCCTGGGTCGCTGAAAGCCCGGAAGCTCCGCCCCCTCCCGCTGGCCCTACCCCCGCGGCCGCTAGGTCTGGCACTCGCGCGCCGCAGTCTGGGAGCCCAAGGTCACCCAGGTCCTAGAGCGATCTGTAGACGCTTGGAGCTCACCGCGCGCGCCCAGACCACCTGAGCGACGGCCGCGCAACCAGCCCTGGCCAGGCAACGGGGCAGCCACTGCGCGCAGGGTGACTCAGGCCACCCGCCCAGATTCAGAAAAAAGACCGTGGCCACGAATAGATTAAGATCTTTAAAACCCCAGAAACGGAAAGTTTATGTCCTCCTCTGATTTGTTTTAGGAAACAAATATATGAAAAGTCCATGACTTCAGATTTTCCGTTCGTTAAAAAAAATAAAATGTTTCAAAAAACTTTATTGTGCCCATGCCAAGCCCCCACTTGGCCTGGCTGTCAGGTTCTCCAACCCTGCTGCAGCCTGAGTCTCCTTTTTTTTCGTAAGTGCATGAGATACCATTTAAGTAGGGAAATCATATAACTGATTATGACATGTGCTTTCTACCACGATCCTGATGGCTTTTGGATGTCAGGGAATGAGTTTCAGTTGGTGGTGCCCAAATCTTGGTTTTCCTCTCTAGAAATGGGAGTCTCAAACCAAGACTTGCTTTGATATTTAAAATGTGTCTGCTGAAAACAGCAAATACAGGGGCGCCTGAGTGGCTCAGTCAGTTAAGCGTCTGACATCAGCTAGGGTTATGATTTCGCGGTTCGTGAGTTTGGGCCCTGGTCCAGCTCTGTCTTGACAGCTCTGAACCTGGAGCCTGCTTCAGATTCTGAATCTCTCTCTGTGTCTCTCTCTTTCTCTGCCCCTCCCCCACTTGCACTCTCTTTCAAAATAAATAAAGACCTTAAAAAAAGACAGCAAATACATGTATTTCCTTGTTTACTAAACTCTTTCACATGCATTATCTCATAGGCATCCTATTAGCTATTGCCTCCTTGTAACTCTTGGATTCTGAGATGCCACCCTCTCCTGGTTTTGCTTCCAGTTTCTTGATCTTTCAGGCTTCTTTTTTTAAACATTTATTTATTTATTTATTTTGAGAGAGAGAGAGAGAGAGAGAGAGAGAGAGAGAGAGAATGAGTGGGGGAGAGGCAGGGAGAGAGAATCCCAAGCAGGCTCTTCGCTGTCACACAGGGCCCAATGCAGGGCTCAGTCTCACAAACTGTGACATCATGACCTGAGCAGAAATCAAGAGTCAGAAACTTTACCCATTGAGCCATCCAGGTGCCCCGTCCTTTCAGTCTTGAGCCTTTTCCACTACCTCTCATAAATCTGGTGTTGCCAGGTTGGACTGAGAACCACTGCTCTGTGCTCATTGGGTGAGAACACTGCATCTGCTTGGTTTTACCTTGGGGATGTGCATTTGCAGGTAATTTGCAAATCTATATTCTCCATTCCTGACCACTCTCCCTCAGTTTTCATATTCATACCTGACAGCCGGAACTAGTGTGTCCTACAGGCTTCTTGAATTCAAAATGTGTCCAAATTTCATCTCCAGTGTCCAACTGCATTTCCTGCAAACTTTGTTTTTCATAAATGAAGCCAGAAACCTGGGAATCAACTTTGATTTCTTCCACTCTTTCACATCTAATCACCAACTCCTACATAATCATGTAGATATCGGTTTTGTCTTTTCAGTCCGCTCCCACTGCTAATGCTCTAATTCAAGCCGGTAGCATGTCTTACTTGGAGTATTACAAGTCCTTCACACCAGGTCTCCATGCTGCCCGTGTTAATTTCTGCATCACTGTCCTTACGTGTACCCCCTCCCCCACTTTTCT